TTCCTGTCAATCACAGATTTTTATCCTGGAATCTCAACTTAGGGGGTGTTTTTGATTTTGTTTTTTACAGATTTCATAGGCATAAGAACAGGGGGCACGGGCTATGTGTCTTCATTTGGCATAGAGTGTTGTTGAGACGTGTAGCGAGGGGATCATGAACCATGATCACTAAAGTAAAAGAGTTGAAAATGAGAGGTGCCATACAATCACAGGGAAATATCTCATTTTCAAAAAGGAGAAAAAGGTGGATTCTTCGAACTAAAAGCTGACGAGGTTGATGTTAATTCTTGAAAAAAATTACACTGGAATCATTGGAATGGATCATTGAATGGGGTGGCTTGTGAGGGAAGCAGTGACGCGGAGGGCAGCACTAGTTCATCAAGAACAGGTTATACCTCATCTTCTTTTTCAGACAGCCAGTTAACATTTATTTAATGCCTACTATGTGCCAGGCATTAGGGATTCAAAGAAAAGCAGAAGATCGTCCCACTCTTAAGGAATTCACAGTCTTGTTGCATACGAGCAGCTATTTACAGAAGGACAGATTTGAAATAATCAAAGGAGAGAAGACAGTAGAAGTAAGAGGAATCACGAAAGGTTTCCTATAAAAGCTAGAACTTGAAGGAAGCCAGAGAAGCCAAGAAGGAGAAGTGAGTAAGGGAGAGCATTACAGGCATGGGGAACAGCCATTGAAAATACCTGGAGTCAGGAGATGGAGTGTCTTGTTTTCAGCAAAGAGGCCAGCATCACTGGATCAAAGAGTATCTGGGTTTGGGGGTTGGGAAGTAAGGTGTAAGAAGACTAGATAGCTGGGAGGTGGGAGGGGCACTAGAATAGGTTATAAAGGGCTTTGAACACCAGAGGATTTTATATTTTATATGAAGCGATAGGGATTTATGGATGGAGGAAGGAGAGTGACATGGTCATACCTGGGCTTTACGATGATCAATTTGACAATTGAATGGAGGAAAGACTGGCATGGGAAAGAGATTTGGGGGAGGAAGAACAGGCTATATGAGTCCAGACGTGAAGTGATGGTGGCCTTCACTAGGGTATTGACAGAGGGCAGTTAGGTGGCACAGTGGATAGAGTGCTGGGCCTAGAGCCAGGAAGACTTATCCTCCCGAGTTATCTCTGGCGTCAGAGACTTACTTAGCTGTATGACCCTGGATAAGTCACTGAACCCTTTTTGCCTCAGTTTCCTCATATGTAAAATGAGCTGGAGAAGGAAATAGCAAACCACTCCTTTTGGCAAAACGTCTTTGTCAAGAAAACCCTAATGAGGCCAGGGAGAGTTGGATACAACTGAACAACAGTGTCAGAGGAAAGAAGAGGACATATGTAAGAGATAAAAGGTAAAATTGATAGGCTTTGGCAACAGATTGGAGATGGTAAGTGAAAGTATGAGGAGTAAAGGATGACACTTAGGCTGCCAGTCTAGGCAACAAGGTTTATAGACTAATAAATCTGGGAAGTGCTATAAACGTGGTGTTCAGGATATTGATTAATAGATTAATGTCAACTTAGAGGGAATTCTCATGTAAAGTATGATAGGTTTTGTCTTCCCTGTTCTGTTCAACATTTTTATCAATGATATAGAGGAAGTCGTGTGATGTGCTCATCAAATTGACCAATGAGAATGCTGGGAAACATAGCTAATACACTGGTAAACAGAATTAAAATTTGACAGACTACAAAGATGGGCTGATTTTATTAGGATACTTTCTTTCTTTCTTTTCTTACTGGACCTGTGATCAGTACCTGCTCTATAATATAAAGTCTTAGAGCTGTCTGGGGCACTGAGAGGTTAAGTGATTTGCTAAGAGTAACCCAACTAGTTTGAATCGAGGGTGGGACTTGAACCTGGGCCTTTCTGATTGGAGGCCAACTATCCATTATGTCATGCTGCCACTCAGGAAATTTAATGGGATTAAATATAAGGCCCAACATCTGGCTTTAAAAAAAATCAACTGCACAAATATAGACGTACAGGAAGACAGCAGGGGAAAATAGTTAATAGTAAACAGTTAATATGAAAAAGGCTCTAGAGAAGACATGTATGACGTGACATCCAAAAATCTTAGGCTTCATTAATACAATTATAATCTCTAGAAGGAAGGAAGTGATTGTATAACCACTGTTATTTACCCTGATCAGACTACATTTGGAGTGTTGTATCCAAATCTGGATGCCATATTTTAGAAAGGGCATTGATAATTTGAACTTTGTCCAGGAAAAAGTAGGCAAGATGGTATGGAGACTAGAAACCATACAAAGATCATTTGAAGGAAATGGAAATTTTTAATATGGAGAAAAAAAAGACAGGACAGACATGCTCATTATGTTCAAATATTTGAAGAGTTGTTATGTTAAGAGGGATCAATTTATTTTTATTTTATGTCCTATGACAGAAGTTGTGGAGAGTCACAGTTTCATATACAGTTGTCTTTTTATGTTCTTAGTATGAGAAAATGTTATGTAATTTTTCTTGATGTTTGTCAAGTTAATAATGAAAAGCAAAAAGAAAATGAATGCTGTATAATTATGGCTAAGCTTAGTCCATGAGAAGAGTTGAGAAAATGTATTTCTGATGGGATGCTTGTGCTTGGGCCTCAGCCCTAAGATCATGTCTCTGGAAGCCTCCCAGTCTCTCAGTAGGCCCCTGCCCTGTGTGAAAATTTTCTCTTTCAGAACACATGCAGGCCTGACTCTAATTCCTTTTATTAGAACAGACACAGGGGTGCATGGCCCAAGGATTCTTGTCCCTGGCTGGCCCAAGGACTCTCCCTCCCCAGATCCCCAAGGTCCATGCCTCTGGCAACTAAACAAAAACTGTCTTTTCTCCCTCAATGACTGGTATCAACAAAATTATCTCCGCAGACTCTCTCTATTTTTCCATCCACAGATTATAGGCGCCTACTCCCAAAGACACCTGGACCCCTGGCATATCCCTTGAAGTGCCTAGTTTATCTAATTAGCATCCTTGGCATTCTTTTCCCTTGTCCTTTTTCCATATAAGCCCAATACCATCCTCACTAGCTTGCAGGTTCCCTTGGAACTTTGCCTGCTTTTGCTAAAGCGTTATAATAAACTTTTGCCACTTGACTAAAAGAGGGCTTGAGTGTGTGAATTTGTTCCAGGCAACTCTACCTTGGTATTGTCAGGTTCCCAACACCCAAAAACCTCTTCACTTATCTTAGCTTTTCAGAAATGGGGCACTGTGGGTGGGGAATATTTAATATACTTTCAGATATGATTGATGAATTGATTGGTTTTAATGAGTTACTTTCTCCCTTTTTTTTTTTAATTTATAGCATAGATGAACTGGTCTAAGGAGCATAGACAGATGTCCCTTTCCTATTTACAGTCTACCACGTTGAAGGCTGTGGAAATGCTGCTCACCTCTGAACAGAGAGATGGTGAACTTAAAATGCAGAAAAAGACACATACACTTGTGAGACATGGCCAGTGTGGGCATCTGCCTTGTTAGAGTATGTAGCTGTGTAGCTGTGTGTTGAGGGCTTATTTATTTTAATTTGCTCAGGTAGTGGAATAGATAAACAAATAAAAATAAGTAAGTAAAAATAAGAAACCTTTTAAAAATTGCCAGACATGGAAAAAAAGACATTTTGGGGAAGCCACTTTCAGCCAAATGTGCCTGAGAGGAGTTGCACTGAGTGATGATGAAGAGTTCCCTGATTAATTGCTGAGCTGGAACTCAGTAGATATACAAAAGGAGCAACCCATCCTCCTTCATTCCTTTTTCCTTCCTTTTGGAAAGACAGGTCTGGTTTGAGTTGCCTCCTGAGAGCTGTGGGGGGTATTCACAGACGGCTATGGTGGCCATGAACACATGGCACCTTCTGCCTCTTTTGGGTTTGTTCTATCTTAACAGTAGGTAAATGATTATACTGAGAGGGAAGCATCCAGGCAAATTTGTACTTTCTAAAAGGCCCAAAGATCCTGAGAGACCAGGAAGGGGAACTTGACCTGAGTGCCCAGAATGGCAGTGGCCAACAGTAAGGAAGGTATCTTTGCTGGTAATGGGTAGATGCACACAGCATGGATATATTCAGGGAGTGTGATTCTTCATGGTGGAGAGAAGTGCCAGCTTTGTACTCAAGAAAGGCACAGAACCTTGGAGCCTGACTGAACTCCCTTCATACTAAAACTGAACCTAAGGAGAAATTTGTAATGAAAGAAAGCATTTCCAGTCCTAGGATCTGTTACTCTTTTCGTCACGTGTATTCCCTATATATGTGCCTCACTACTCTTGAGTTCAATCTTCCTGTAGATACAGTGTGTATTTGTGAGAGTGAGTCCCAAATTTAGGGGGGAGGAGAGATGTTTTAGAACAATCATCTTAAGAAAGGCCTTTGCTGAAGGTTTATTAAGTCAGCTGATGAATTTAATTATCAGCACGAAGGTAGGGGCTCAGGAGATGTATTAGTATCCACAGATTACTCCTAGAACCCCGAGCGTTGGACCCCAAACCTCAGGTTTAAATGTTAAGACTGGAAGTGACCCAGAGTGGGTGTTAACGATCTCTGTTCCAAGGGATGGCTTTCTAGGTAGGAGATGGGAGTATATATTCCGAAATGGTGATGTAAAATCAAAAGGTGTCAATAAAAAGGTTTATAAAATAGGTATTTTCTATATATAGTGTTTGTCTTAACATAAACTTGAGACTTGCAGTCCACACCCTTCTTCCCCGCCAAAAAAGAAAAAAAAAAGGCTTTCTAGCTAAAATAGATTAACCCCCTGAAGTATTCAAAGAACCAATTCATTTTTCTGTTTACTCTGAATGACAGGAGTTGAAATGTAAGACTAAGACGAGGAAGGTAGCCCGACAGCTTCCGGATCGTAATTTATTCCGCAGTGAGGGGGCGGGGCTTTCCGGACTCCTCTTTTTCCCGTTGGCAGCCGGGGAAGAGAAAAACGGGGCGGGCGCCGTTACCTGTAGGAGCAGCTGACCGGAACCGGAAGCTGAACTTGTAAAGTGAAGAAAAACCGGAGCGCCCCGCCTCCACGGTTGTTTTATCTTCTGCTGTGCACCGAGGCTGACAGCTCCGTGTAGGAGCAGCTGCTGTCACCATGGCTCTTAGCGACGCCGACGTCCAAAAGCAGGTACGTAGCCCACATTCTCGATCCAGCTTCAGCTTTCCGGGTGTTGGGTTGAATAAGTGGTTCTGCGAACGCGAGGACGAGGGGATCTGCATAGCCTCCGTGGCCTTTCTCCCTGGGTCCTTGGGGTCGCCTGATGTGGGGGAGGTCACTGACTGCAGTAATTCTCCCACCTCCCGTGACCTCTTAGCCCCTATCCTGCCCGGGATCTGAGTTTCTGGGACCGAGGATGACCCTTCTCTCGGCGAACGCAAGGCCCCTTTTGCTTAGTAGGGGTAGAGGGAGGGGAAGGGGTGTTCTCCTCAGGGATTAGAAATTCGCCCTTTTCATCTCCGATTGGATTTTTTAGCTTTGCTGGGGCTTTAAATGTGATTCTGTGAAATTTATCGGGTTTCCCGGTAGAGCAATCCTAAAGTGTTCCGCCGTGGTTACACTTAATTTGCAAGAAAAAAGGAAGTATTGTGGGAAGAGCGCTAGACTGGGAGTCAGGAGACCTGGGTTCTGTTTTTCTCTCTGCCCCGTGATCTTGGGCAAGACACTTTCCTTCTAGGACTATTTGGTTTTCAGTACGATGTGAAGATTGGTTTAGATAGAAGAGTCTTAACTTTAATGAAATTGGTTTCCTTTGTAATCCTACGTGTTTTATTTTATGAATTTAAAAACATTCTGAGAAAGGTCGGTCAGTAAGCTTCACTAGGCTGCCAAAGGGGAGCTATGGCACGAAAAAAGATTAAGAATGACTTCCAAGGTCCCTTCTATTCATAACATTCTCTGATTCTATTAAAACCTACCTTGTGGGTTCAAAAACAACACTTAAGAATATTTGCCTTGCCTTTTTAAATGTTTGTATCATTTGGTGATTTCTTTTGAAAAAAAGGATAGACCTATAAGTAATTTCCATTTGAGTTCATAGCAGTGAGAAACCAGTATCCTTTCAGTTAAGTACTCTTGCCAAAGGAGTTTTTACAGACAAAGAAACTAAGATCATATTAGCAGGTAATGGTAGAAACAAATTTAGAGCTAAGCCCCTGAGTTGCCATATTTTGAGGTAGTTGGAGGATTATCTGACTAATATTCACAGATTGGTGAATCTGCTGGATGAGGAACGGCTAAAATCACACTGGAATATGGAATTTTTTTCTCTCAGGCTTGGAAATAACACTATATATTCTTTACTATCTTGATTGTTACTCCATTAAGTAAGAGGGAGAGCAATCTTTTTTAGCTTTAACTGCTGCTGATTTCTAATTAAAATTTAGTTGAGAAAAACTTACAGGAAATCTTGTATTGGTTTGCATTGAAAATGAATTGAAAAATTGAAAATGAAAATGAAGGGGGTATATAGAGTAAAGGTAACAAGGGGAATGTGTTTTCTTCATTACTGAAGGGAGCCAAAAATCTTTGAATCTTTAATTAATTAAACCTAAGACTCGAAGGCTGTTCTCCCCTCTTCCCCCAGATCCCCAGAAGTCTCTCTAGTTAAAGTAGATTTACTCCCAGAATTATCCAAAGAATCAATTAATTTTCCTATTTGTTTCTGCCAAATGACAGGTGTTGAAATGTAAAGGTATTTGGATACAAAGAATCTAGTTAGTTGTCTATAAACTTAATTACTTGGGGGGAAAAGGGGAAGGGAATAAGCATATATATAGTGCCTACTGTGTGCCAGGCTAAGTGCTAAATACTTCATAAATGTTATTTCATTTGATCTTATAATAAATTATTCATTTATAATTCAGCCAACATTTATGATTTATTGGGTGTTAAATTTATATTCTAATTGTGTAATGCTTTTTTGAGTAATTTTTTAAAAGATTGCTATTATACTAAAATACTTTGTTGTTAAAATATAACAAATTCTATTTTGCATATTTTGTTTAGGCAGCCTCTTTTTGCTTAGGAAAATATCTGTTGTCTAGGTTTATTCTACAGTGAATTTATGTTTGTGTAGAGAGAAGAGGTTTGTTATCTTTCAGAAGGCCAGAATTTTCTGCTTTGAGGCTAGAATGTATTCATCCCTTTGGCTAAACTTTCTTTCCAACAAATCTCTGAGATAGAACACATTGTCCTCTTGACAGTCCCCTGGACTCTTAAGAGATCTGCACTGATCTAGTCAGAACCAGTTGCAGAGTCCCTCAGATAATGAAGGCAGATAATGCAGGTTTGAGCCAGGGGACAATATTATGTTAAACAAGGTTTCTGTAGCATTTATAAATACCTACTTTTTTTTTTTTCTTTTTTTTTGCTGTTTTAGTTAAGGCAGTTTAAAGCCTCAGGAACAAGCAGGCTGAACAAGTTGCTTCAAATTGCATAATACCAATCATATCCTCAAGGTCCTTTGAAGAGGTCCCTCTTACAGTCACAGTATTTTTCCACAAGTATAATAAACTTAAGAGTAATGATATTGTAATCCTGAAAATTCTAAGACTTGGAACTTAAAGTCTTTTGTTCATGTTTAAGGTACAAAATTTCATACATAGATCTTTATAGATTTTTTAGATATATGAAAAACCTACTTTTAAAGATATCTGTTTACTAAGACTTAGGATCCCTTGGGTAGTATTCCTGGTTTACTTCAATATGCAGGAATGGTATTATATTCAGATGGTCAAAATATATTCATAATGTATTCTTTGTAGAACATGCCTTAAGAAATAAGTAGTGTGACACTATTTCCAGAGTTAAATCCACAAGGGTTCCCTGGCTACCTTGTACTTCTACAAAGTATTTATGTCATAGGACATAATGATCTAGGAAAAAAAAAATAGTAGGTAATTTCTTTTTTAATTTTTAATTTACCAGTTACTGGTTTTAGGCCCAATTGTTATCAATAAATTTGATTAAATGGGTTGGCCTAGAGTCTCACCCAAGACTGTAAAGAGTTATTTAAAGTGTTTCAGATTTGGATGTGAAAGGAAAGTTGCTGTACTTTAAAGTATTTCTAGAGCCAAAAGAAAATCTGATTTTTTCTTCTTATAGATCAAACACATGATGGCTTTCATTGAACAGGAAGCAAATGAGAAGGCTGAAGAAATAGACGCAAAGGTAAAATTAATGCTTTTTAGTGCAGTATAAGTACGTTTTTATTCTTTATACAACTAGTTGATTTAGGGGAAATAAGCATTTATGCTGTTAAGTGTCAGTGAAGTTCAGAAATCACCTTACTAGAAATTCTCAGTTGCAGATGCTCTGATAAGGCCATCAGAGAGGAGTAATTTTCCTATGGAAACTTGGAATTTAGACATTTAATGCCTTTGAATAGATCATAGCCTATAGGGCCAGGAAAAATGTGGTCTTTGTATACAGAAAACAGTCAGTTTTGTAAGCACTATCTTTTTTTTCCTCGAAAATTAATTTAGGCTATGAGAAATACCTTAGGATTCCTCTAATGGAAATTAGATAAATGTAGATTTTTCACTTCTGAAAACCAGAAACGAACAGCCATGCTTGCAGTATGAATATTTTGTTTCTATTTCAATATAATTGGTTTACTTGGTAATCCTATGAAACTTACTGAAATTATTTTTTCCAGGTCAAACAATATTATAAACATGAATAATGCATAAAGGTTCCATGTGGAAAGTATACAAATAAAATGATGAAAATGAGCCACCTGATAAATATTGTATGATTAGTAACATAAAAGACAGCTTTTTTTTTTCCTTCTATAAACAAGAAACATCTGAAATTAAATTGCCATGATAAGGTCTCATTAAAAAACAAAACAAACCCCCAAAAAAACATTCTGAGAAAGAGTCCATAGGTTTCACCAGCTTGCCAAGGGAGTCCATGACATACAAAAAAGGTTAAGAACCCTTGCTTTAATCAACCAACAAGCATTTATTAAGTGCTTACAAAATACCAAGTGCTAAGCCAAGCTGAGGTTACAAAGAAAAAGCAAAAAAAAAAGATTCTGCCTTCAACATAAATTAATCAGAATATAAATGTATAGTAGATGGATGCTAAGAGGGAATGTCACTAGCAGCTGGGGTGACCAGGAAAGTCTTCCTGGAGTAGGTGACCCTTGAGCTAAACCTAAAAGGAAACCATGGATTCTAAGAATCACATGATGAGAAACATCAAGTAAGCCAGTATAGCTAGATAGGAGAGTTTGCAGACAGGAATAGAATATATGAAGATTGGAAAAGTAGAAAGGGGCTAGGTTATAAAGAGCTTTCAATGCCAAACAAAGGGCTTTATATTTGATCCTGAAAGTAGGAGAAAGCAACTGGAATTTATTTGGTGGGGGAGAGTGACATCTTTAGATCTACACTTCAGAAAAATCACTTTAGTATCTAGGTGGAAGATGGATTGGAGAGGGAGAAAACTTGAGGAAGGGAATTTAATTAGAAGACTATTATAGCTGAGGTGAGAGCTGTTGAGAGCCTGCGCTAGAGTGTGAGTGGAGAGAATGACACATGTTCAAGAGATGTTAGTTATGAAGGTAGAAAGATTTGGCAGTGGATTGTGGGGTGAGTACAAGTGAAGAGTTGAGGATGATACCTAACAATAATTGGGAACTTCAAACCACTGGAGGATTTTGGGGAGGAAATCTCACTTTTGGACATTTTTGAATTTGACATACATATGAGATATCCAGTTTGAAATGTCATACTGGATGTTGGTGATGCAAGATTGGAGCCATGGAGAAAAATTGGGCTGGATAAATAGATCTGGTAATTGTGTGTTTTAGGATGAAACAATGGGAAGTGATAAGATTATCTAGTGAGAAAACACTGAAAGAAAAGAGGGGACTGAGTCTTATTTAAACATACTGTCTGCTAGCCACTTACTAAATTCCTTACAAGTTTATCTCATTTGATTTTCACAATAACCATGTGAGGTAGCTGCCATTATTATCCCGATTTTACTATTGAGACACTAACCTTTAGTGAGCATTCTGGGTGATATTGAGGAAAAGAAAAGGAATGATCAGACAAAAAAGAAAGTAGGGAGTAGTGTCAAAACCTTGGGCCACAGAAAGTATCTAGGAGTTGAAGGTGGTTTGTAGTGTCAAATATTGGCAGAGAAGTATGGGAATTAAGAAGAGGTCATTATATGTGTCAGTTTAAGAGATCAGTGGTAACTTTGGAGAGCACAGTTTCAGTCGAAGTCAGAAGCCAGAGTTTAAAAGAGAGTTTGAAAAGAGACAGTAGAGGCACAGATAGGTTGCTTTTTCAAGGACTGTAGTTGAGAAGAGCAGGAAAGAGAAATGGTTAGCTGGTGGGTATGATCACATCTAGCAAAGGTGTTTTGAAGAGGGGGGAGATAGTAGGTATATTGGAAGAGACTAAAGAGGAGAATAGTAAATGAAGAAATAGAGATGATGGTGGAGGTAGTTGGCTAGAGAAGATGAGGGAATAGGATCAAAGGTACATTTTGGTGCATTGGCCTTGGCTTTAATTATTTAAAGTTGACTTCCCAATATTTTTTTGTGCTCAGGGAATTCCTGCTGTGAATTCCACCTATAATTTCTGTAATTAGTCTTAGAATGTTTTCTGGCACACTGAGCTTAAGTATCACAGATAGTATGTGTCAGAGGCAGGACATAAATCTATATCTTCCCAACTCCAAGGCCAACCATTGACTACATCATCTATATCACTGTCCCAACATACAGATGCAGCCTTAAAATTGGCCATGTTGGGTTTTATAGACACGAGAAAAAGAAAATCACTCTAAAACTTTGACACATATGACTAACTCAATTTTACAATTTTAGGAAAAGATTTTTTTTGTTGTGTGATGGTGTTTTGATGATCACACGTGCTACGCCCTTTTATATTTTACTGATTACAATGTTCATTTCTTCTTGGACCATTATCTATCTGATGTTCTTCAGATATAGAAATCTCAGGATCATCTGCAACATCTTCATCTACCATGATGGGAAAGGAGATAAGCTGTTGTTTTTTTGTTTGATTGTTTCAGAATGTGAAGACTCCATTGCTATTTTTAAATACTAAGCCATTTTAATTATAAATTTTAGCTCATTTTTTCAAATCTTCAATTTCAGTTGTTAATCATAGACTTCTGGTAGACAGAATAGGAGGAAAAATCAGAATTTTATGGCCTTATATGAGAAAAGTAAATTTGAATTCGAACTTTTAACATTTTACTTTTTTTTTTTTTTTTTTTTGGCTAGACAATGGGGTTAAGTGATTTGCCCAGGACCGCACAGCTAGTAAGTGTTATGTGTCTGAGGCTGGATAACTCAAGTCCTCCTGAATCTAGGGCCAGTGCTCTATCCACTGTGCCATCTAGCTGCCCCATTTTACTTTTCTTGAAAGAAAATTCATCTCTTCTCTGGAAAGAATGTTTTGCAGCCTAATTTGCATGCAGATTCTTGATCAAATATTTTTAGTTTCTCGGGGTCAGTTATCTTTGTCCTTAATAATAACTGATATTTATGTATCTTAAGGTTTGCAAAGCAATGGACATACATTTTTCATTTGATCCTCATAATTTTATAAGGTAAATGCTTATAAATATTATTGTCTCCATTTTACAGATGTAGAAACTAAAGTTCAGAAGTTAATTAGTAAAGTGTTAGAAGCAGAATCTGAACCCCAGTCTCACTTAAGTTCAATGTTTCTTCCTGCCTTACACTGTCTTTCCTGTATGTATTTGAGAATTTTTTTCAGATATTAAAACTAAAAAAGCAGATTCTAATGAGATTAGCAGAGTAAATTTCAAGTTTTCCACATGGAATGACGTAGTTATGACAAAACACACATTACTCAGGAGTTTGGACAACAAGTTTGCTGCTGTGTTGGAACTTTTTTTGTCAGTGATTAGTGCCTCTTATCTGAATGTAAATTGGTTCCATATAGGCAGAAGAAGAGTTCAACATTGAGAAAGGTCGTCTTGTGCAAACGCAGAGACTGAAGATAATGGAGTATTATGAGAAGAAGGAGAAACAAATTGAGCAGCAAAAGAAAATGTAAGTAGCTTCTACTTCCTGGTCTATTGAGTAAAGAACTTGAGTAATGGCACTCACTGAAATCATTGGGCAAAACATAGGTAAATCTTAGCTCCAGTAAAGCGTAGGGTGGTCTTTAATAGTGAGAAAAGCATTTACTCTTTGTCCAGAATGTATAGCAGCTTCTGCTGCTGTTAAAAGCACTCTGTACTGACTCTTATATTTCCATGCAACTTCCAGTCAGATGTCCAACTTGATGAATCAGGCAAGATTGAAAGTCCTCAGAGCCAGAGACGACCTTATTACAGTGAGTATCTAGCCCCATGGTAATTTTTTTTTTAAAGGTAATTTTTTTTTTAAAGGTACTTTGCTTTGATAGGGATTGAATTGACCCGGTTTATTCCATTAAATAGTTGATGATTTGATTTTTAAACAGATAGAATGTCAAATATGTTTAGGTCAAATATAAGTAACTTAGCAAAAGAATTTCTATAATTGCTATTCAAATTATAGAGAACAGCTCTTAAATTAGAATCCTTTATCACTGGCTTGCTGACCAGTTATTAAATTGGATAATTCATCCTTTCTGCTGCTGAGCTCAGAGGATGGGAAGAAATTTATGATTAATTTAGTTTGTCTAATGGAACAGAAATACAAAATGTTCATAGCTCCAACCAGCTGATAATTTATGTCTTAAACAATTTTTAGCCTTCTGTGAATAATGGTACTTTCCCCCTAGAAGAGAATTCCTTTATCAAATTAGATTGATTGACTCACCTAGTTCATTAACTACTTTCAAGAATAGTAATCCTTTTTGGTTATAGTTAATGTAGTTAGTTACAGTATTCTCCAGTATCACAAAAGGTGTAACTTTATTGCAGGTGCCATTTACAAAAATCAAAGTGTTAGAGGTTTGTGAATTTATTACAAATGAAGAATTGTGCAAAAGATGTGTCAAAAGATAACAAAGAAAGGCACTAGCAGAAATGATCAGTCATACAGCAAGAGTGGAGAATAACATGGATAGCGTGCATACTTCATTGGTACCCATGCGTCGTCAAGAGATGTTGAGGAAGACCTAGTACTTTGGGAGGAAATGGACAAGAGTATTACAAGATGAAAAGGCATGAATGGTTTGTACTTTGCAGCATTGGAAGGAGTAATCACAAATCTATACTATAAAGTATCAAAGAAGTTTATGATATAAATGCCATAACATTTTTTATGTTTTGTTTTGTTTAGTATTAGTGCCAAGTGTTTTACCACATTCATATAGTTATGATCAAATACTAGTTTTTATAATTTGAAACATCTAGTTTATTTCTTTGTTCTATTTATTGAACACAATCTTCTTAGAAGTGGAAAATGCTGAAAAAGATCTAGTTTATTCTAGAAATACTTTTCATAACATATCCTTTAATAACTTAATTGTTTTAGATGGTAGAGTGTGTGTGTATACACACATATATATGCATATATATGTATATGTTATATGTACATAAAAATCAAGAACCTTTTCTCAGTAGATTCAATTGATTATGAACAAGCAGCTCTAAAAAGAAGAGAAGCAAGGTATCAACCATATGTAAAAATGTTCCCAGTTATTAATGAAATATAGAAATTGGAATATGCCTCAAGTCATTAAATTGTGCGTACCCTTTAACCCAGCAATACCACTACTTGTCACCTACCTCAAAGAAGAAAAGGGAGAGTGTTGTGTGTGTTGTGTATGTATGTGTGTATTCCACCAACAGTGCACCAGTGTGCCTATTTTCCTACAATCTCTCCAACATTAGTCATTCCCATCTTTTGTCATAAGTGCTTACTATGTATCAGGCACCATGCTAATTGATAAAAATATAAAGAAAGACAAAAGACAGTTCCTGCTCTCCAATAACTTGCTGTCTAATAGTGGAAACAAAATACAAAAAACAACTTGCAAATAAGATATGATAAACTGGAGATAACACAGGGAAGATGTGAGCATTGAGGGGGAATTGGGAAAGGTTTCTTTTAGAAGGTGGGATTTTAGCTGGTTCTTGAAGGAAACCAGGAGGAAGAAATGAGGAGGGAGCAGAGAATTGGCAATAAAGTGAGTACCCTGTCAATTGGGGGATGACTCAGCAAGTTTTGTATATGAATGTAGTGGAATATTACTATTGTGTGGTAAGAAATGGCAAAAAGGATGGTGATTAACTGATGAAGAATGAAATGAACATAACCTCAAGAACAATGTATAACATAACATAAAGAAAAACAACTAAAGAAAGATGTAAGAATTTGGATCAGTTCAGTTGCCAGCCTGTATTCTAAAGGATGAAACATGTTCCTTATTTCTTGACAAGGAGATAATGGACCATAGATGCAAAACCATATACTCTCAGATGTAGTCAGTTTGTGAATTTGTTTTGCTTGACTGTCCTTCAGGGGAGGGCTTTTATTTTGAAGGGAGAAAAGATTTGTGAGTCAGGGGAATAGGTAGTAATTATGATAATGCAAAAAAAAAGAAATATCAGTGAAGCCTTAAATACATGGAAGAAAGTAGAAGGAAGGTCAGAATGGAACTCAAGACAGTCTGGACAATGTTGGTACTATTGTCTTAAATTTAAAATATGCTTTTTTTAAAAATATATACTTTTTTTTGTTTTGTATGCCGAAATAGTACCTGTCTTTTTTTCTTATAGTATTTTATTTTTTCCAATTACATGTAAAGACAATTTCTATTATTTTAAAAATTTTTTGAGTTTCAAATTTTCTTCCTCCCTCCCCTCCTTAAAAAGGTAAGAGTTTTAAATTATTTTTATATATGTGCAGTCATGTAAAACGTATTCGTTGTGTTGTGAAAGAAGAAACAAACCAAAAGGAAAAAGTAACCAAAAATAAAGCAGGTAAAAATAGTATGTTTCAATCTGTTTTCAGGCTTCATCAGTTCTTTCTCTGAATGTGGTTTGTATTTTCCATCATGAGTCCTTAGGAATTGTCTTGGAAAAATATACTTTAAAAAAGAGCAAGATGTAGATAATAGAAACTCATTGTTTTATATATAAACCTGTTCTCTGTTCCTGTTCTCTGTATATGGAAATGTTTGTGTCTGTCATTAAGTTCTTAATTAAAAAAAGAAAAAGGATAATGTCCACAGATTAGGGAAGTAGTAGTCTTATTGTACTTTGTCTTGAACATCTGGCCTATTGTGTTCAGTTCTGGTTGACATGTGTTAGGAAGTAAATTGATGTGCTGGAGATAATCTAGAGAAGATGAAAATCTTGATTCCATGCCTTGTGAGGATTTTAATAGAAGTGGGGGATGGGAGGAAGGGAAGGGTGACCTGAGGAAGAGAAGCCTTTGGGGGAGGGGAGATAAGGCAGGAGAGAGAGCTTTATGAAGCACTGTCATTTGGAAGAGTGGTTATACTTATTCTCCTTGCTAAGAGCAATGGGTAGAAATTGAAGAGATAAAATTTTGCTTTACAAGGAAGTCTTATGTATGATCAGAGCTCTCCCAAAGTGGAATAAACTGCTGTGGGACATTGTATTTTTAATTCAGTTCAACAAGCATTTATTAAATTGCTCTGTGCAAGGCACTGTCCTAGTTGCTGGAAACACACAGATAAAAATGAAAAAATATCTCTTATGCAGCTTACAAACAAGTAAACAGATAAATACAAGAAAATTTGAGAAGAGAACATTACTGTATGACGTGACAAGAAGCTAGGGATTCTTTGAAGTAAGGGAGAAGAAGACAGTACATTCTAAGCATTAATGATAGTTTGTGTAAAGGCATGACAGTGACAAGGTAAGATGTTAAATCTGGTTAACAGCAAGTAGGCAGTTTGGTGGGAATGTGAGAAGAGTCATATGAAACAAATATGGGAATATTCACTGTAGCCTAATTAAGGAGGGCTTTAAATGCCAAACTGAGGAATCTGTATTTTTATCTTAGAGGCAGTTAGGGATCCACAAAAGATTCTTGTTCAGAGGAGTGGTAACACAGTCATATGGCAACTGATTGATTATGGAGAATGAGGAAGAAGGAAGAATTTAGGTTTCTGAGGTTACAAAACTGAGTGACTTTCAGGATGGTTTTGTTGTTCAATTGTGTCCTGTGAGGGACTGTCTGATGTTGGCAGCTACCAGGTTGGGCGCTGTGACAAGAGTAGGGTAAGATCTGGGTATTTTGGAAGTCGAGGCAGGGGCTGTGGTAGGCAGAGTCGTGGTGAACTGGGATGGGCTGGATACGGAGAAGCCCTGAGGCAGTGGGCAGTGCTATGTGAGATAAGCTGGGTGCAAGGAAGTAGCAGGAGCTTGAGCTCCTGAGGCAAGGGGCGGTGCCACGTGGGAGTGGGACGGCAGAGGACTGAGTTCCCTTTGCTTAGTCCCCTCCCTTTATGCAACGTCATCCCCAGACGCCTCTTGTGACCTTCCTGACTTCCTGGGTCCCTTTGTGCAGCACTGACCCTAGACCCCTCCTCCCAGTGTCTGAGTCTGACTTCCTAGGTCACGTACTCTGTCTATGCACTAATCCCAGATGCCTCCACCCTGTATCCGGTCCTAGCCTCCTACGTCACTCCCTCCCCCTTGGTGTGCTAAACTCAGACAGCCCCTTCCGGTATCTGACCCTACAATCATTGGCTAGTAAGCGGGCTGGGGAGGAGGGGCTAGGTAGGTATTTTGGAACGAGCGTGGTCAGAACACGCGCTCTCTCTCCTGGCTCCTGTTCTGTTGCTCTGGCCTTGCTGCTTGGGCTTGCTGTGATGGCTTGCTGTGATGGCCTCTGAATAAAGCTCTGGTGTTGGCGCCTCCCGATGGCTCATCTCTGTGTGTTTATCCGGCTGAGGACCAAAGACTCGGAAGTGAGTATGACTCTGGTAGCCTGCTCCTTATAGGAGGAGAAGGTACGGCATGCGGCCGGCAGAAGGTCGGCTCGGCCAGTACAAGTGGCGCCCAACGTGGGGCGGAGGAAATAGGCCAGAGGCCCCGTGGATCAGCTGGTCTGGTCACGGGAAGAGAGGCGAGACCCTTAGCCGATAGGGCGAAGGAAGAAAGATGGGACAATTGTTTGTTAAGGTCCCGGATCGGGAGGTGCAAGGGAAAGAAGTGTATAAAAGAGTGAAAGAAGCAGAAATCAGTAGTGAGGAAGAATCAAGGAGTGAGACAGACTCAGGGAGTGAGACAGAGGACACTGGAAACAGCGAATGGGAAAATAAGCAAGAGAAAAGAAAGCAAGGCCGGGCAGGGGGGCGGGAGCGGGAGGGCAGGAGCCGAGAGAGAGCAAGAAACCGTAGCAAGGAAAGCTACGCGGAGGGGTGGC